ATGAGTAGTACATTGCAAATATATACATGTATCGCGATATTTCAAATATCGTAGCGACTGGAACATGAGGCGGCCTGGTGCAGCACATTCAGTTGCCTGAGAACATCATAAACGAGAGATTTAGCTGGGTTCCAGGTGAGTCTCTCGAAAGAACCAAATTAGTTTGCAAATGAGTGCATATTCGCTAACTTCTTTTACGAATGTTCTGGGCGTAAAAGAAGATGAACACTACAATTTCCACCCGTGGTTATCAATCGAAGGTTCATTGAACACCACTTCCGGTAAATTGAATAAACACAGTAAATCGATGAGAGATACGCCGTAATTTTTGCATAATAGTAGAATTGCATAGTAGAATTGCCAATCAGTCATCCATCTCTGCCCACTTGAGTGCTGATCTGCGTGAAGATTTGCCTCGAAATTCGTCAGATGCGAAGTGCAGCTGATTCGAAACGATGATGGAACGGGGGAACAACCCATATAGTGACCCACTAAATCGGCATCAGTGACCGCTTCGCTTAGGTCATACAGTTGATAAAGCCTACTAGATTAATTCGCTTTCGAAGAGGCATCATTTGCTATTGTGCGTTTCATCAACTCACTCCGCACACATTAGTAATATTAATACATTTCTTTGGGCATGATAAAATAGAGTTTATCATTTATGGTTATCGACCCACTATCGCTACCTATTTACCACAGTGAGCAGATGTGCTTGCTAAACAAAATTAATAATTCAGTGAGTGGATGGATTCCACCAGTGACAGAAAATTCTGCTTCCATGATATCCAGCTTACTGCCGAGGAGTACACTGAATTCTCACCGCTAATGGAAATGTGTGATGTTGTGTCGTCGTATTTTACTCCAAATGCTCATCATCAACCTCAGCAACAGTATCAACGTTTTTCAGTCTGCTGTCGAACAGCCGGCAGATGTGTCTACGTGTCACCGTGAAGTGAATTGATATTATTGATGACCTCCGACTCCCAGGGACCGGAGATTTCTACATGGATTCTGAATATTGTTACAGAATTCTGGGTGTAAAGGCGACACTCTTATCCCGTTTGAATTTGCACATAAATGCAACTCAAACGCTTTGAACTATGGCAAACTGTCTTTTGAGAAAGAAGCGTCATTCGCCGGGCAAAATGAAAGAAACCTGAAAAATTGCAAACCGTAGTTTATTGATTCACTACCAGGCGCACAGAGATAAATAAAAAACGAATTGCATTGTTGTATCAACATAGATGCACACTAAAAGCATACGCACATACACAGACCGCAAGCAACAAACTATCCCAGACTGATAACATAACGAGGAATTCCACGCTGGCTGTTAGTTTAGATCGAACGCCATGTTTGATATCTGGACGTTCCAATTTGGTGTATCGATAAATTGTCTCACAAACGTTTGTTTGTTGTGAATAAAAGTTTGCGAATTGCACGTGTGCATGAAAACTTATTATTCAAAATTAAAAGGAATGCTTTGCTAGGCGCAATCAAAATGCTTCTGTAGTATAGCATAATTACAGAAAATAAATCACTCACTCACTTATTCATTCAAATTGGCGTGCCCCAAAATTTATCCGTTTCAACTGTACTTAAGAAAACAGATTGTATGCTTCGAGAAATACACTAATTTGCATATCAATTTGGTTTTCACGAGAGACTCAACTGAATCTCTCGCTTATGATATTCTAAAACTGAATGGGTTCAAGGTTGACGGAAACTCGGGGACTGCGCCTAGCTGATGAGTCCCAAGAAAAGCGAAACCGGTCGTGAGCTGTCGAAGAGTTTTCAGCAACCTTGTAAGTAGTTTCCTTCATGAAGATTGTAAGCTTCTTTGTTCACTACGGAACTGATATGATGCTGATACTGTGTTTCGTTCTGAATACTTTTAGTGTTTATTTAGACTGGATTAACCTTCATCAGGTTCGTATAACCACAAACAAGGTTAAAAGATGAACTGCTGATTTGGATCTGAACAGACGACTTTCTTTTTGTTTTCCAGTCATGTAATATGGTTGTGGGTGTGGAATCAGCCGTCGTTATAGTCACCGTAGAGTGTAACGTACGGGCGACATATATGGATGCACTAAGTTGGGATCTATGGCCTCACTCTGAGAAACCCATGACCGAACCGCACATTTTTGATGACTTTCGCATGGCTGCGATTTCTAGTGCTATCTGAACTGTGACTATGATGACTGGCTAGAATAGTTTGCTTTAAACTGACTCTGCGGTTCTCCGACGTTATACTTCCCTCATAAATCCAAAAGGCTGATGCGCGATAGTTGGAAAACTACGCTAGCATCTTACTGAAATAAAACTAAGATAGTATAATCTATTCACTTAAACGTTTTACACAAATACGCAGTATGTCTTCAAAGAAATTCGGTATTTCTTAGTGCCCGTTGTGGTTATCAGTACCGCACTTTAGGATCTACTCCTTTCTGCTGCATTAATCCACGTGATCTACCTTCCGACGACACTTCTATTGCCTATAGATACCGTTCTCATAAAAACCAACCCTCTGTCCACCAAAAGAGCTAACTTTTCAAACCATTCTGAAACAGTGTATTCTCGTTTACTTCCGAGCAATCGTTGACATATATGTTTTTCAGCTAAGACATTTGTGGTGAGTGGAGGTGTTAGTTACCTAGCTCCATTCACATTGTCACAAGCCACCACTTGTTGTAACGGCTGATCTCAAAGGGCAACGCTAAAACTCTCGTTTTCATTTATTCCACCCAGGGTAAAGATACCAAAATGTCTAGACTGACATTGAATGGCAACTCACTATTGTTCTGCATTAAGAATGATAATGAAGCAATAAAGTTGTGTGCGTGGAAGCAATATCCTGGAAAACAGACTACATCGTTGCGTAACTCCTTTGAGCTGACTGTCACCATTTCCGGTCATCAGATCTCATGTCTAATTTTAGCATTTTGACTTTGACGTTTAAGGCAAACTCAACTGGAAATCCTCCAAAACACTGCATTATAATGTCCGTCTTACTTACCTGATGGCATTCAAACTCCCGACTTTCCAGATAGGAGTTTGACATAAAATATTTATGGTCTGGTTAACCATTAACTGACGATGCTTCCCTTCATCGGAATCACCGCTCTATCGTATCATCAAGTTCTGACTGACTCCTCGTTTCTTATTTATTTTACTTTCTGAAAGCCTGTGGTTTACAATCCACTTGAAGTTCATGCACTCAGAATGCTCCTAATAATGCTAAAGTAGTTATATGGTACTCCTGGTGTAGAATAGAAAGCTCCAGATTTATCAAGAAAGCCTCCTATGGCAATAAAATTTCAAGGTCTTTTCACCAGGCGTAGACGTCTGTTCACTAGCTCCATGAGCTGCCTTTGCTACGAGGTGGCGATTTAATTGTAGAAATCATATTCGTCAACAAACGCATTGTACTCTGCAGGAAACGTGGTGACAAAACTAAGATGGCCAAGAACGACGGTTTGCTTGGGTAAGATGGCTGAAACCTTCGGAAATCCATAAGCAATGGCTGCGTATAAAGACCAGTAACAAGACTGGTTAAGATGGCGTATTATTGGATTTTAACTGACGAAAAAAGCGGGTGAAATCAAGCCAGTATTGTAGTGAATCTGTGAGCATTCTGGTACTTAGGAATGCCTGAGGAAAGCTTTGGAACCGTTCCAGTTTTGTTGCATTATAAAAGCTCGAATTTTTAGTGCGATTTAAAAACTACTGACCAATCACAAAAATGTAGACAGTTCCTCTCGTTTAACGGAGCGTTGCATAATTTTACAGCTGCAAGTTTTTCCCTTTAATCTAAGAATTAAGGGATGAGAAGAAATTTGCATAAAACAGAATTTCGCTTTTCTCTCCAAAGCACACTACTTATAATGCTGCTGGAAGCATTTCAGCAGATCACTACCGACTTCGCCTTTCTTGAAGTTCCTCAGAATACTACTTTTGAGTATGAGCATGTTGATACCCGATTAAAACGTAGTAATAAGTCTTTCCCACAAATCGTAAATAGAAGATCACGCGTGGTGAGCTGTCCTGTGGCCTACGAAATTTTAACTATTTCCGAAAAATTAAAAGCCGATCACCAGGATCCACAATGTGAGATATCTGTCGAATTTGACCAAACGCTGCTTTTGTTGAGACTACTTTGTTCTTTTACTTTATGAAATACCTGGTCGGTTGTTTTACTTAAGTGATTCAGGTAGTTCATTTGAATCACACATAATTGTGTGGTTCAAATGAACTACCTGAACGAGAACTGAATAGGTAGATCATACTTCAGCTCTCTTATCAGTCACCCGCCGTCGGTTCACTCGAAATCTTTTTGGAGTGTGTGAAAAAGTGGCATTTTTGTGCATCTGCAGTTCACATCTGACCCAGATGTTACAATGCCGACATCACAGCCACGTTGAGCGTGTCCTTTTGCACCACATACTCGTTCAATCCCACTGTTTGCAATGACATGCTAGCTTGCAGTGACACACGCTTGACTGCCTCTTGGCCCCAGCGACTAGCACACAGCGTCCGCAAACAATGACGTATCGTGCCATGTAATTTTGAAACTTCACCTCTTGACAAAAGATGTGAAGTTGTTTCAGGATATAACGACTTAAGAATCCCCAATGTTTGTAAAAAAAAATGGTCAACTAAAATGAATTTCTGGAAGACTGGTGGGGAACAAATGCACAGAATAAGCCACGAACTTCAAAGTTAGTACCGTCATTGTAAAGAAATTCTTTGATTTTAAAGCGAGGCTAGGGGACGCACGAGATCACTTGGTTATTATGACGATAAATAAATCGTGCAATACCTCTTACGAAAGTGGTGTTCGATCAGATGGCCGTTGATCTGTTCGCCGAGCTTGGAAATTGGTTTGTAAACGTTTCGTCCCCAGTCGAGGAGACGTCGTCAGCGCGCAGTTGAGCGCGCCATCTGATCAACCACCAGTCAACACACTTCAGCTACCAATACAAAATCCCACTTACCCGAAGCATCATCCCCGATCATATCAGTTATGATCCGCACTGTAACAGGCGTGGATGTTTTGTGTTGTCCGTTCAAGCCACTGTTTGGGTTTTCCCGCTTAGGGTTAGTTATCAACCCTATGTCGCCCACAGAGGACGAAAACGGTACTCTATTGTGGGTCACATAGCACAGTTGTGGGTCTAGGACTGAGTCTGTGTGGCTCACCGTCGCACCTATTGCATTGTTTCTAAGCGGAGATGCCACGTTAGATCGAGTGTGGAAATCCGTTTGCACATTTTCACCGGACGCGTTACCGGTGGGTGAGTTTTGATCTCTTTTAAAATAATTGCCACGCGAAGAGTAATTTGCGCTTCTTTTCTTCTCCGCCTGTTTGGTTGATACCAATTCAATTACTTTATCTGTTCTTTCAGTTTCCAGTTGCTGTTGATCAGCTGAGAAATGAGCAGAACCTGGATGGAAGACGCTGGTGACGTTGGTTGATGTAACCAGATCGGCGCCAAATACACTTCTGGGAGGGGCGACCAATGGTTTTTGAGGTGAGCCAGGTGGCTGATCATCTTCCACCAGTTCTATGACTGCTCTTTTAAATCCGGACAAGAGACGCGAAACTGGAGAGGTAAAATATCCGGTCATAGCATCCTCTTTCTAGCCTTATACTAGTCTAAGATATGGATCCACATTGTAGAGGAAAGCCTCCAGATCAGTGACTGTCCACGATTGCACACCCAACACACGTCCATGCATCGCGTCGACAAAAGTGACTTGCAAACCGGCTGCGCAACCGATGGCTGTGCCTGTCTGTTGAACTGTGTGTCTGCCTCTCACCACAAGCATCTAAGACCGTTTGCACTTGGACCAACAAGTTTTCTCCGTTGCGCAGCCGGGACCAGCGTGTGCGAAGTGTATGACTTTTCAGCTACCATCACCCCAGAAACTGCCAGATATGGTAATGAATGCTTGAATGTCACGTAAAGCATCATCTTTGGGCACGTGTACTGAATGATCCCCAGGAGCATTGTGCTCCAATCAACCCGCACGTGGCCGCATTAAGCAAAGCTCCATTTCTTCAAAAACCTATCAGACAAACTGGTTTGGTAATCAGCGAAAACGCACAGACTTTTTTAGTGCTGGACATTCGGAGACTTTTAACACATGCGGTTTCTGTGCTAAGTTTAACGGGAGGAATCCCGCAGGAAGTATATTCCTTGTACGTTATTTAGTTCTTCCATCAAGGGTTCAGAAAACACTGCCTGATTTAGGCTACCACAAACCATCTGCTGCAAAAGTCTGGCAATTTACAGACAAATGCTACCAAGTCTGTGATAAACTCAACTAAATAAAATGGAGTGGAAGGTGTAGGGATGCGAATTAGATGAATTGTTACAAGTGACAGTCACACCTCGAGTCTAGTTCCTAGGATCAGGAGATTCTCTGAATTATCGTCCAGTTAGGTTCACGCTGTTTTGCCTGCGCATAAATCTTGGTTACAAAGGGCACACTATGGACCACGAAATATATGAAAACACGGGAGCGCAAAGTCCGCAAAGAAACCACCCACCTCCGTGGAAAATTTTGGAACTCATGCACTTATAAAACTGATCATTCTAACAGAATATAGTTTCAACCAGATTTCGGTGTTCGCGCTAGTGAAAACTAATCCACCCAAGAATCCAGCCAAGTGACCAAAACTGTCTCTTCAAAATCAGCTTAGAAATGTTCTTGTGGTAAGCATTAGGAGTTTTATTCTACCTCTCTCAGATGTATTAAATCCTCGGTTACCCACAAGAAGCTACCATATCATATATTTGGGCAGTAGTGAGTAACCGTTTGTAAAATTCCATTGTTTTAGAAAATCACCGAGCAAGGAGTAGCTAGGTGTGGAATCTGAACGGACACCGAAGTGATTTTAACTATAATGAGTCCTAAGATGGATTATTTATACACTAGCAAACTAAGGGCGAAACACTTTGACGTTTATTTCGACTACAATGAGAAACAATGAGATGGGATCGAAAGGAGAAACCAAGGATTGGGTCAGCGAAATTTTTGGAACCTTGCCTTGCAAGTATAGCTGCTTGGACGCTACTGGCTATGTGACGGAAAAGTGTGTGATGTGACAAGGACTAGCAGTCAGAAAACACTGGGAATACGGTAAACGATAGAGAGTTACTTCGCCAGCATATGCCAGACAGCTATAAGGAACCAAAGAGATTACCACAGCCAGCTACTGACTCTAGCGACAACGGGAACAAGTTTTAATCAGAATGCAGTCAAAATGGTACAGGTGTCGTATTTTGTCCACGTGAATGAGGGCACTGTAAACTGTGGTCACAACAAAGTTGATACGATCACTTGTCAAAGAGAATAACCCGGTGAAAATTGTCACAAATGCACTTTTTACTGCGCAACGATTTTGCAAGTATGGACTGCAAATGAAAGAATGGACATGCCCAAGTTTGTTAACTGCTCAGTTGTGTAACGTGAAATCTATCAACAAGGAAATGTTGGAATGCGATCTATCACTTCTCTACACACATGGGTCAAAGCGCCAGGTAGGCACAGTCAAACGACCGATGCTTACCGCATACTAATTGAGCAAATCGGGACAACTGCATCTAGTTAAGATTAGAGACACCGTCCTCAACGTAAGGAAAAAAATCATCAGTTACCAATAACATCAGTTTGTATGGTATTTTTGTCCATATCCGCCTACTACAAACTTTAAAGTCTTCGCAACCTCGGTATCTGTACAGAAATGTTGTTAAACTATTATAAAAGGCATCAACAACCCAATAGTTTTGGTTGCATTCTTTGGTATTCCTATTCTTTTTTTGGTTTTGTCATGGTGATGCCCAATCAAATTCGCAACCATTAAGTTTGGATGAAACGGAGAGCATATGCATTTTATGTAGTGATGAACATCTAAATCTTCCTAAACACTCCACCAAAAAAGAACATTTCGCTGAAAAAGCTGGTCCGTGTATTGTGATAAGATGTGACCTGAAGTAAGATCTTTTGATAGAGAGTCCTCTAGCCCTCACTAGCTCAGAGACACGGATCCGTCTTCGAAAAAGAACTGGAACTAGTGTCGGTGCCGAATGCATGTCTAATTAATGGTGTATCAACTAAGTCTACTCCCAAAATCGCAAGTTTTCAGAACACAATTTTTTTTATTTTTCAGAGAGCTGTCCTCGCTAGGAAAACTACGTGATATAGAAAGTGGTCTACTCTGGGCAGACTGTGAACAGAATTACGGCCATGTTGAACAAACGCAACTGGGCGTTTTGGGGCTGCTTTCTGTAAGGTAAGCTTTGTTGCGAAGTGGGCGTATTACTGTACTGCAGGTCGTCAAACACAATGACTTAAATTTGCAAAATATACGAACGTATAAATGTAATACACTACTCAAAAGCTTGCCAATTTTGCGCAACTTGGGTTCAAGTAGAACATAAGTTTTTGGAAACTCGGGGACTGCGCCCATCGAACCCCAAGAAGGGCGAAACGGGTCTTGTGTTGTCAAAGTGTTTTCAAATATCAATATGACTAGTGTATTATATCTGTGCGTGTATCGCGAGATCTCCAATATCGTACCAAATGAAACATGAGGTGGCCTGATACAGCACATTTGGTTACCTAAAATAATCATGAAAGAAAGATTCAGCTCGGTTCTAGGTAAGTCTCCCACAAAAGCAACTTGGTTTGCAAATGAATGTATTACACTTACGCATATTCATTTGGGTTGTTTTAGTTTTTCCCGAATAAATATTCTTTAGAATGCCGGGGCAACAAATTTATGGCACAGGCGGACCCTTATGTGAACATTCCTTCCAAGAAAAAAAGGTGTTTCTGGGTCTTTTTGGATAGGAGATGTAGTGTGATGCGTTTTTTCAACAAACGAATTCCGCTAGCTGGAATGACTTGTTTACTGCTTACCGTGGTAAGCAAGGGTTCGGGTGATTAGGAATCGTAATTTAAACTATACCCAGCTATCGGAGCTTGATGAGGAGTAACCTGGTCCATATCTAACCTGAAACAATACGGCCGAAGTGTCGATAGGTTGACGTAGTCTATGTCAAGTATAATTTGAATCTGTTGCACAAAAGTTCATTCAGATACAGCAAGCTTTTCAAGCAGCTTTGACGATTTCGATTTTGGTTTGCAAATCTAAAGGTTTGTTCGGCGACAATGAAGAGAAAATAGTACTGTTTTCTTATTAGCTACGGCCACCATTAGTGGACAACCGAAGAATCAAAGCTGGTCTACACATGGAAGGTCGAAGTATATGACACCTTTTCCTAGATCCGGGAAATGGGTCGCTTACTATGATGAGAAATACAGACACTGGAGGTCAATTTACTGAGCGGTGGGAACCCGACCAAGTTGGACTCACGCTGATGCAGGTCACATGGTTGAATGAATCACTTTGAGAAGCTAATCTTATGACGTAGTGTGCCAGATTGCTCAAGGTTTGATCATGATGACAATACCGGTTTCTTTAATTTCAACCGGAGTAATCCCTCGGCCAGCCATCAGTGATGAACGCAGTCCTCATGAATTTGCCAATACCACGTGCGGAATGTCGTGTTTATTATCTAAAACCAATGTTTTTATCCGGCAGCCTCGAATAAACTCGTCTTTTTATGACTGGGTCAAGATAGTGCAGCCTGGCACATGTGTTAACGGTCGAGTTTACGATGCTGGGGTGCGCTCAGTATCGTTATACAGGTCAGAATCTTGGTCGATGTGCACTGAAGACGTCAAAACTTCCAGTTTCTGATCACCGATTTCTACCAAGCATTGTCCGAGTCTGGTGTTGGCCCCGGACCAGTTATGCTGAGTTACGTCGAATGGTTTTTGCGGGAAATAAATTACCCACGATAGATGAACTGATCATGTCTCATGGGTTGCGCTGACTTGATCCGTATGCTCCAAATGCCAGTCGACCGACTCCCCCTAAATGCTCTTTTCACACAAGGGGAGGTGAAACAATGACTTAGCAATGAATTATGAAAACCAGTACCAACGAACTCCGCTCCGCTGGTCATTGCCGCCTGCCTGTGTGGGGACCCCTAGATGGAACACATCAGTGGTTAGAGACAATGGTAGACATGGCCCTGTGTGCCCTCAATGACCACAGTGCATTCAGGCTGTTGCCTTCACTGTACAGCTCCTTCTTAATCTAGTCAAGAGAAGTCCACTGACGCCTCAAGATTTAGCTACAGTCTTCAATGCGAAACTACCTACCCACCTCTGCAAATCATCGGTGAACTAAACTGTGATAGCCATAACCCATACACGGCAAGTTCACGGTTTTTACAGCTATAGACGACGATGATGACATGTGTCTGGACACGCTATATCACATGCGCCCTTGTAAGCCGTATGGTGCTGTTACATCGCTGCTGCAAAAATTTTTACTCTTCTAATTGTGGAATTACAGGTGTAACAATTGTTTGAACTCAACAGCCATTCCTTATGATTGAATCACTTTTCTGGTGATCCTCGAGATGACATATGTGGAACAGAAACCTCGCAAACATAGTATTCTTTTGTGCTGCTCTAGTGATGACAAACACAGTGTGATTAAGTGAAATTATCATTGTTTTCAGAGGCCTAGAGGGTAAGGCGATTATTACTTCATTAATTAATTAGTTAATCAAGAGTGGCTAATGAACTAGGTCTCGCAAATCAGACATTTTGGACAGCACGTGACGCAATGAAACTATTCAATTTGTGTTTGATGGCAGATACGGTGTTTTTCTACCTTTATTGTTCAAAGTTAATGGAACCGCCCACTCAGTCAATCACGAATTAAATTCACCAATTCTAGAACATAACTCAAGTTATTCTTTAGGCCTCAAGGTGTTGCTGTTGTTTTGGTGTAACTGTTGTAGCTAACCGTACGCCTACGGTTCAACGCTGCGGATTCCTAAAACTACTCAGTTTGGCTTTAACCGAATTTCTTCGCGAAATTTGTCTGATATTATATGAAGTTAAATTTATTGTGTATTCTGAGGCAACAATATTTTGGCTATCTGCTTACTTTATGCGCTACTCGACTTCCACTGTTTGCCAGTCAGTGGTCAACTGAACATCCCAAGCCCCTAAGCGAATCCGTTGCTAGAAACCACTACCTGTACAAACTACAAGTCACAGCATCCCACTCACTTGCTCAATGCAGTGTTACTCATGTTATGAACATGCATTGTTTTGTTCCCCACGAATGGGCTTCGACTCTAACATGCAACATGTGCGACGTAGCAAGGCCTCTAGTCATTGACAATGCTGTATTAAGGTCAACTCATGTCCCACTACCTCGGCTTTTGCTGTGTTGTTCTGTCAATGGGGGAAAATGTCGATTCCGAGTAAGCAAAGTTCCCCTTAAAATTAACATAAACTGGGCTATATGCTTTCTGCGCTCCGATCCAGTCTTTAGAAGTTGTCTTGGACTCGGTTCGTTCCTCAAAGGGGAAATAAGAGCCTCACATACCCGTGTTTAGATTTTGGATTCACACTTTTTCTGTCACTACTGGTCTTAACAAGCCTGTGTTAGACTGGATTATACTGACCAGACAGTCACGTGAACCAAAATTGTGGGCTGATTGCAATCATTCGCTGTTTTGAATCCCGCCCATAATCTTCCGTTCATGTAAAGGTTGCTATCAGGCGAAACGATGACCGAGGGTCTTTTCAGATATAGGCAGAGCTGTAATTCGAAATTTCGCGTCTAACATTTTAGGCGTTGCCAACTGCATTCCAGGATCATGTAAAGTGCCTGTGTATGGCATTTAGACTACGCCAGCGTTTCCCATTTTCCACGGACCTCGGCAAGTTTTCAGGCATTACACAATTAGAGATGCACGAAAAATGGCATTATTTACGTGGTTTTTTTCATTCAGCACGTGAGCCATAAGTGACGCACCGTTGCCCATTGAATTTATCTTGTCAACCTAAGCATTTATAAGTTGTCCAAATTCATTCCTCTGTTGCCGGCTTCGGTGGAAGTGCGGTTGTGGTCTCGAAAAGCCAGCCATCATCAGATCCACCAAAGTATTCTGATTCAAGGTCTTGTTTCTACTGTTCTCTCATACCCAGTTGAAATGTGTGACACCCAGATCAGGCAACTAGTGTCGCCAACGGCCGGTTTGTGCGCCCACTTGTCAACCAGTCAACCTATACTTAAACACGTGACCGACTGGCCAGTGTGACCTACTGGTAGAAACTCACTAGGTCTAACGAGAATCCATGTGAGTGCCTTGGGCGTTAAAAGATTCACTCACATCTTCTTGGACTGGAAATCAGTGAACAGTTCAAATTCATGCCCAATATTTCTTCGGCGCTGATGAAAACACAAACACTAGTATCAATCTACTGATGGTTGAAGGCATTTAGATGTTCAGGTGAACGTTTCCTAATTTTTGGTATCGAAATTAATTAGCTAGTTACACCAGTACACAAAAGGTAATTAGTTTAAGTTAATTTTTTCTCCCATTTTTTTCGATGAAGCTAGGTCATTAAACACCAGATGGCACAACTGAAAAAATCATGTGGTTTTCCCCTTTTTCAAAATCAAGACATGGAGCAACCACACAGAATTCCGCCGTCTAACACATTTTACCTGGTAATTTTAAACCTTTGGTAATATCGTTTCGCTTTCGAAGTTGCCTGATGCGAGATGAGTGTAAGTCAAACATCCCATTAAATCGTACATTTTCACTGTTCTGTGCTGATTTATGCTGTTATGGCTTGCGGGTTAGGAAAGCCTGAAGACGAAAAATAAACGAGACATAAATCTGTCTTTGCAATGTGCGCCAGTTTTATCGACTATTAATACAATAGGCCAAAATAGTGGAGGATAAGTCGTTGAAACAAACAGACATTCGGGAAAATTCACCTGATTCCGCGCATGAACCTATATCTTAACAGATATTAATGTTCTCGTATTCATTAGAATAACCCAAACTGTTCATCGGCGATATAAGGAAATGTAGAGTTGCCACTAAACTTGATGACAGCTCAGTCTGTTTCTCATAAACCCAGTATACTGCTCCATGTAGCTGAGTGCCCTGGAAAGACCAACTGAATGACTTGGCTGAAAGTAGTCTTTTTTGAGAAGTAATCCATTCTCGCACGAGTTTTGAGCGGATCAACAACAGTTATTGTAGTTATGCCCTTTCATCTAACAAGTGCAGGGTATCCTTGGATTGGTTGGTCCCACACATTCAGTGTTGTTGCGTCTTTGGCTAATTGATTGACATTTGGGAGGTTGGTCTGCGTAACAGTGTTGCTGAATTCGATGCGAGCGCACAAGCTTGAGCGCTTCAGTCATAGTATACTGACGGTAATGCTCGCGGGGTGAAGTCAGCCACTCAGTTTTGGGTTTGCACCGTCTATACCTGAGGATTTTAGCTGCCGTACTCAAGAGCCGAGCTAGATGTGTTTTTTTTTAAAAGAACGCGATCCACAGTATCTCTTCACGGTTTAAAACTACTGACTGGAGATTTACGATGACGCTATCCTATTCCACGTCCCATCTTAGTCAGTATACTTTGTTCACTAACAATTAGATTAAAGCCAGGTTCAGACGCTATTTCACTGTCCAAGTATTTACCTCAGACTTTTTGACTGCCGCATGTTATGTTTTACCTAATAAATGATGTTAATGTGTGTATTCTTTAGTCTTCTGATCTATACAGATCCCATAGTTAAGCTCTTCGCCTGCATGGACTTTAGTTTTCACAGTTCTCTTCAAAGATATTTGACCAGAGAGGACTTAAATATCCGTATGAATTCAAAAGGTACCTGGAGGAGAGTTTACACTTGTTTTTAAGTTACTTAATTCATGACAATACAATGCTCATCACTAGATGTTTGGGAAGAAAGAAAATTCATCAACCTATTTGCTTGCCTCAAGCAGTGTGACATACTTATTAGATCTAGGAAGGAGAGAAAGTCCCAGTTGATCTGACCCTTCGAGAAGCCTAATTTCCGAGAAAATCTCGGTTTTACTCGTGGGGTACTGCTTTTCCATGTAAACAGCACTGGAGACTGTGCATTGCTTGTTGGTTATGTTTATAATTAGCGGGATTAAATAAAAGGTGACATTTTTAGCTAACCTTGTGAACTGAGTGTTGATGCAAGTGATTCATCTGCGTTCCAAGCACCCAAACGATCCCGTTCGACGCTTATTCGGTCCAACTGGGGCTTCCGAGCCTCAAGTTCTGTAAGAAATTGCTAGAGGATGGAAAATACACAGTGCATAAGTATCGACATTTCTGACCAAAAAAACAGATCAAATGTTGTCCCGTGTCTTCAGCTGTAAATTATAATGGGTAGTGTTTTCACGGAAATTGTGGAGAAGGCTTATTACTGAGCCGAAAATGTCAGGAACCTCGCGGAAATGTCCGTAAACTCAGTTCGGCGAAGTCCTATAAGAAGAATCTCGAAGAATATCGCAACTCGTCTTCAGGAGCCTTAGGTGTTCGCAGTATCCACGTAATGCATCCAGAGTTTCTTTATTTTCTGTTAAACATGGAGTGTCAACCTAAGGACACTTACTGAACACTCATTAAGCACCGCTTTTGTCTCCCTCAAAATTATGCCGGATCGGACTTTTACTAACCTGGTGTAAACGAGTTTGTTCAGTTCCATAAACCTCGTATCCACGGAAACCCAATTCACCCTGAATATCATATGCATCTGATTGTATACGAGGCCGAGTTCACATAACACTACCGAAGAAACGGAATCAGATCTGGACTGATATAAATGAATAGTTCACCTCATTCATGTTCTGAATCTGAAGCGATATCTGAAGCATCTTGTCAATAAATAGCGTTCGACTAGGTTGCCTAATGTGTAATTTACTACGCAACCGAACTTAGATTTTGGTACGCTTATGAGAAACACATTGAATGCTAAATCCATTATGGCCATCGTCGGCAGAAACTTCAACCTCCGGTTAAACAATTTTCAATTGAAACGAATGGACAGCTGCTCATGCCACACGACAATCCCATTATTTCGTCATCCACCGGCAACAATTTGCAGTAAGAATTTCTACGAAATAAGAATAGCTTTCATAAAAAGGAACGCACAAACTTCACGCGCTTTTTTATTGCTCGAGGATCCTTGCAGGCCACGAACCTCCACAACTTACAGCCACATATTATCCATGGAGTTACAGTTACTAGATCATCGCTATTCATGGCGTAGTAGAAAGGCGCTATGTGGACTTCGAATTGTATTCTTGATCAAGTAAGGATACACCTCATTTATGTAACACCCAGCGACCAGGTGTGATTCGCCAACCTCCGAGATGCATCAACCTTGATGATGATTACACACTCGCAGTTCACCGTCAGCATCGATATTTCGTCAGCATACTAACATGGCAAAGAGTAGGAGTGATTCCACACCATATTTAGTCTCACCCAGTCAGATCACGTGATATAATCAGATCAAGGCCACAAGGCGATCACTACTGGAAATTAGTTGTTTACTGTCATTAAATCTTGGTCCAGCAGATGATTTCAATCCAGATTCATGACCCTTGATCTATGTAGACTTCAACGGAACAGTGCTGCAAGCTGTCAGTGGTCCGATAGTTTATTTAGCTAGTCCTCGATTTCCAGCGTGAATCCAAAAAGTTACTATCCACAATTTCAAGATTTGAAGACAAATGCAATTGTATTCCACTGTTTCTATATGACGGTTGAACTGGACTTGAAATGAGGCGGAACTTCTCTGTTAATAAAATCTAATCCTGCCTAAAGACTTTTCATACAGGAGCAAAGCTTATTGGGATGCTTTTACACACGAATGGTCATCTTTTGGCCTATCCATACACAGTTTGTGTCCTTAGCCTCATGTACTTGCAGTGGTCTTCCATAAAGAGAGTTTATTCAGTTAGTTGTGCTTTGTGTCCCGTATTATTTTCACCAAAATAATTGCATCAGACAGAAGGAATGGTGAAACGCGGCGAACGGTGATAGAAGTGGGTAAATTCACTATTAGAAACCCACTGCTTTAACTACAGTCGACAAAGGACGTATAATCAGATAACCTGCACGGGAAGTTTTATATAGATTCAATTACAATGGCCCATTTGCCATGGGCCATGGACCATGACGTTGGGAAAAAAGAAGCTTAATGTTCAATTTGTGCCAATTTTTCCAACAGAGTAGTAAGCAATATACATATGCACAGCAGCTGCTGGTGAGCAACTGGTCGCTTTTTTGAGTTTCCGGAAAATGGTTTCAATACAGAATATAGATGGTGCATGTGTATTTGTGTCTCATCACCGTACAGCGACGGTCGTCCAAAGACGTTGCCATATTTGTCGCTTTCGAACGTCGTGCGGCCGCTCCACCTCACGAGTTTTTAGTACCGACAGGCCAGAAACATTTGCTGAATAGTTTAGCCAGCAGTTAACTACCCATTAATGTTGATCCTGAAGGTTTCTCTTTCTGGCCTATGTGTTGGCTTCTGAAAATTATTGAGCAACTATGAGTGTAAATAGTGTTCTTTTATGGGCTCAGATGCCACATCATGAAATCATGAAACTAGCTTCAATTTGCCCTAGAATCCAGAGTTAAACCCATCAGAAAATGTGTGGAAGTCTCTTTTATGCAACTCCGATCCGTCAAACCCGGACAATCCGGAGAAGCAGAGTCATGTACTGATGGAATTAACGACAGGCACTCATCACACTCAAATGTTAGGAGAGATGGGACGCTAAATCTTAGCGGTGAGATTGTCGAACAAAAGGGGGTCAAGTTGACGTTTGACATACCATTTTTGGAAGTAGCTGACTGGATGCACGCCATGATTCTAACAGGTCATGGAATATCAGGGGAGAATTTCTCAGAGGACTCTGAGATATACGAGAAACCCGCTGAGTTTGTGACACATGAGAAGAGGGGAAGGCAAAAACGGGTAGCCAAATTTATGCCTAAAATGAGATAAATCGAGCGCTTCGAGTAGATTTTGGGGATTTCCATATTGAAGATTCCAGACTTTTGCGAAGAATTCGTACAGCTGATGAAACACGATCACAGTACATTATCAATAGCACAGCGCCGCTTTTATTATCCAAGACCAGAGAGTTTTTAGGAATGTAAGTTTTAGAATGATACATTGTTCACTGCAGCAATAGAGCGACACTTTAACGACTACACATGAGAATGTTGCGATATATGAGTCTCTCCGGCGCACTGATCAGTGCCGCAATGACAATGTCACTTTGATTTGTCAGAAAACCCTCACTATTTAGACAAGCAGACCAGAAACCAGAAACCAGAGAAAATGTAATGAATCTGCTTGAGTGCAGAGTAACTACACGGATGAATCCGTAATTTCTACGTTTCTGTTACATTCCCTTCCACAACAGCATGGGAACGTTCCAGCTTCCCCCGTAAAGAATGACTCGGAGAAGCCCCATTCATGGTAAGGTACGTAGTCATCTACTTGACAAGAACGACTAACACCTTTCAACATGGTTGCTGGCTCCGTGGGCTACTTTGATCAGAATGCTGAATATCGTGTTGTTGACGTGTCACTAAAGGTACCAGTATCTCTTTTTTCTATTCGATTTTGGTTAATCTCTGGGACATTTATGCTATGTGTCATTTGTTACTGTATTTTCACCGAACGCAATGTTCAGTAATTTGTTGTTGCTGACGTTAGTGCACATATTAGGGCTTGAGCGGAACGATAGCACCAACGATTGTCAACAGCATCTTGATTTATTGTTTCAAGTCACTTAGCACGAGGAAGAAATTGGGTAACTGATAAGATATCTTTTGTGAATCCGCAGCCAAACTGTGTGTGATCATGTACAGANAAGACTGCCGAATAAAAGTGGTTTAGGAATTCAGAAAGTTTGTCACATAAATATTTATTTCGGCCATAGGTTAGCGCTATCATTGAACCCAGTGTTCAAAGTTTTATTAGCCCTAACTAGTGTTTGAAATGTTTTGCGTAAGCGAAAAATCACCCACACTGGTGAGTGAGGTTAGGTTTAAGTAAAGTGCCTCGGTTCATTTAAATGAGCTAGAGACAGTAACAAAGTAATGGAATTAGTGCTCACTGCCTATAGTGAGTGCGCTGATGAGACTCCGTAATACACTGGCAATACACTATTATTATGAACAGTGACTACTGCAGGATAAAGCTTCCGAGTAATCAAACACGATCATCTCACTTAATTTGCATGTCGTGTATCTGATTTGAAAAAAATCAGTGATCTGATAAATTGAAAAGAACCCAAAGAGGAACATTTGCCCTGTCTGTCTAAATTACGTCAACAGCTTCTGATCTGAAAACAGATTTAAACGGCATAAGCCAGGGGTACTTTGAAGAATACCTTTTCGGCTGCACAAAACATGCGATAGATGTGTTTGAAAAATGTGGATTCTATCTGGTGGTGCCGCATTCAGTTGAAGTGAATCAGGAGATTTGTGACCGAGGCCAGATGGCTTTCGACCAAACACTCAAGTGGTTGGAGCGCTAATTTGCGGACCGGTTCAAACCCGACCTCTGCCTTTCAATTTCCCCTGCCTGGGCTTGGGCAGCCTGGTAGTATCACAGCCCCCGTGCCTCCTTCGGGTGGTATGGCAGCTAGGCACGGAAAGGGTACTACAGCTGAACAATTTATTTCGATCTGTATATAT